ATGTGAAAGCATCAATAACTTACAAGGTAATAATATGCATGGTATTTCTTTCTCAATTGAAATTAAAACAGTTTTTTCAAGTTTTAAATTTCTTGTCATTTTGCTCATTGCCAGTAATAATACCTTATACATGTGAAACAACTAAAAATTCTATGAAATTTAAATATAAATGTGTTTAAAAGTTATTATTATAATACATTAAGGTTTTTTTTGTTCATATGTCTGCAAGTGGTAAAAATGATATGGTGGAAAAGTGAAACTTAGTTTTGAATTCTAGTCCCAGATTAGTCACTTAGTCTTCATATGCTACTAGTCAAGTTCCTTCATCTCTTGGAACATTAAATGTCTTAGCTGTGAAACAGAGACAAGATGTCTACTACATAGCTCACAGGCTTTTTGTGGGAATCAGAGTTGATATAGATGCTAAGGTGTTTACATTTCTTTTAAAATAAATAATTGTTTTTCTGGGATATGGATAGTTAAAATTTGTTCTTGCTAATACATTTGAGGCATTGATAACATTTTATTTATCTGTACTTTTCTTCTTAAGCAAGATTTTATCTGTGTTTTTCTTTTTAGGCAAGAAAACACATCTTACAGATCCATACCAGGGACTGGAATCCAAAATTGTCAGATGCTTTTTTAGGTGAATTGGCTGAAAAATGTGTTGGTAAGTACTACTCATTGAATTCTTTGATTGTCATTGTTTGTTCTGCTCAGCCTCCCTTTCCCCTTATGTTTGGAATGTGAATGAATATAGTTATGTCTTTGATTGTATAATAGATGGCTCTCCCTTTATTTTTAAAATTCATTTTTAATACTTCACTTGAAGTTTGAACACTTCTAAATTAGAATTTTAACTGCCATTAGGTGTTTGATTAACAAAGCTCAGTAGTAATATGCCTTTCATTGAGTGCTGGATATCCATAATATTAATACAGTATCTCCTTTTAGGAATTGTTCCCTCTTAGAAATTTTGCTAAGAAAAATAAGCTTAAACTTGAGAAAGAAAGGTCCACATCAAAGGCAGGACTGCAGTCTTTTACTTTGCAGATCACACAGTGGGCTCATCTTCATTCCTG